GGAAAATTGCTTGGAAATCACATGGAAAATTAATTGTAATCTAGATATAGTGTTTGCCTTTGGTTACAAACTTCATTCTCAAGAAAGATACAGTCTGAATGTTATGTCTCCAAAGACTTGGAGGTCTTGAGCTAATAAAATTATGGGAGGGATATTTAACCTCATGTTTTGCGATTTAAGAGTCTCTAGATTGAAATTTCCCAATTTTGTCTTTTATCAAAAAGTACTTCTGGGGTTACAGTTTCAGGACTGCAACCACTTAATGTCACAGGCGCTGCTTCCATAAGTGAAGTTTTGCTGAGTTATGGCTTGATTTAGAAATACAACTTCTAGTTTGGGGAATCCTGCTCTATGTATTAATGATCAAGAGAAGAGCCCATTGGAGGGAGAAGCACTTCAGTGCTGACTTGCCTTTTACATCTCCCTGTGAAGTATCTGATACTCAACACTGTCAAAAGCACAATCCTGAACGAGGTGATCTGATTGAAGCTGACAGTTTCTATGTTCCACTGAAATCAGGTCAAAAGACAAGTGTGTGGGGAAAGCAAAGACAAATGGAAAAACAGAAAGGCTGATGTAAGTGTCTAATATTTCACAACCTCCAGTGTCTAAAAAACATATGCCTGAGGCCACAAAAATGGTGTATAGTTTTTCTATACTTTTTGGTAACCAAGATGTTAGGCTTCAAAGCTTACTAGCCTCTGTTTTCACTAGGATTTTGTAGAAGTAGTCAGTCTAACTTCAGCAAAAACAGTACTGGAGGCCACAGAAATTTTAATATCCTGAGGCTGAGGCATGTTGGCTGGGTTCACATAGGTGAACTTGCATTAATAATTATCCCATAAATAAGTAGAAGGCAAGAAGGCATCTTTTTTTGAGGCATACCCTTGACTTGTAAACAGACATATAAATTTCATCCTGGATGTCTGCACTTACGTTTGTTTTTTTTTGTTTGTTTGTTTGTTTGTTTGTTTTGCTCTGTAAGAGTACAAATAAGAAACATAGGGCATGGTCTTAAGCAAGTCTAGAAGAATTATCACTAATGTACCACTCTTCATACTCATTTGTATTGCTGAATTTTTTGACATACACCACCTTTGACTAATGAATGTTTAGGTCATCTAAGTCATTGTGGAGGAAAGCATCTCAAAATTGCTTCATGTTTTCTGGAGTAATGACTCATTAGTGTAAGAAGAACTAAACAATTTTTCTGGCAGGATGTTGTGCTTTAGAATACAGGTGACCTGCTGCCATTTGCTGAAACAAAAGGGATCACGAGGACACTAAATTCAGCAATGCCAAATTTTCCTTGAAAAAAATCCTGATGTAAAAGCAAAAATAAAACATTCTAAGTTAGACACAGGTCTCTAAGATTTTTTGCTATCCCTAAAATGTAACAAAACAGTGAACTTGAACATAATTGAAAAATGTGCTTGAATCAGAGCTGCTGAGTGCACAAGGAGGATTCAGATCTCAGAAATTTGGAGTAAAAACTTTCCTTTCCTCTCACCTGGCCATATTTCTCAAAGTATCAAAGCATAGAAAATTGCAGTTTTAAGGTCTGGATAATTCAAAAGCAGTTTAGCAGATTTTCTCCAACCTTTCCAGAAAATTTTTACCTCTGGGCTGAGACCAAAAAATTTCAGTCCAAAAGGCAATTTTTTGGAAAAAATTATAACCTGCTGAAAGAGGAGGTTTAGAACGAAAGTGTTTTTCAGACAAGGCTATTCCACATCAGTTTTTAACACTTTAGCTAATGCATTATTAAACTATATTAAACTACAGTTTGTTGTATGAATTATGTATATATAACATATAAATGCATATATTAGTGTATATGTAATACAATACCTAAATATTATGGAAAAAAATATGAGCTTTCTGAATAACAAGGAGCGTAAGCAGAATATATATGAAGAACCTGAAGAGATATTATACACCTATTAACAAGAATTCATCTTGACAAATGAAGGACTCTGACATTTGCCCAGATCAAAAATCCAATTTTGCAGTACTTGGAGATAAGGAATTAAATAGAGTACAGATATCATCTAACCTGGTATTAAAAGGTTAGCAGTGCTTAAAATTGATTAGTTACCCAGACCAGACAGGCTATATTCCAGACTGTGAGAAGAGAATTGGCCAGATGTTCCAGAAGCTTTAGTAGTGATTTTAACAAACTCTCAGGCTAGGCAAGAAGTTCACAGCTTGCAAAGTGGGTAGCATAACTCTGTTATGAGGCAGGAATCCCCGCATGTTACACAGCAGCAAAGATAACGTCAGTTGAAAAAAACAGCAGAACACTGTAAAGAGATGTAGTAGATCATACAGAGGCCATACCTATGGGAAAAAAAAATACCCTGAAATTTGGGAATTCAGAGCCAGCAGGTTAGGAGAAGAAAAGGCTATGACAGAATAAGTCCTTTGGAAACTGAAGTATCACAGAAGTAGGAGATATGTCAGGGTATAGATGAGTATCACACACCGAATTTCAGACTATCACAGGTTGTAAAAGCACACGCAGGAAAGATCACACTCTCTCCAAGATAATTTCAAACTAATCATTGCTTTCCTAGCTGTCACCAAGGCAGAAAAATTAAAGAATAAAATAAAAATATTTATTTTTAAAGGGACACAAAAAACACTGGTGTTTTATTTTCATCTCCAATAAATGTCATAAATGACAGTAAAAAAAAGCAATATGTGACTACTGAGGGAGATTATTTCATTGATAGGATTAATACCAAAAAAAAAAAAAAAAAGTCAGAAAGGGCTATAGACTGGTTAGATATTTGGTCTAACATGGTGATGGAAACTGTTGTTGAAAGCAGACACAGTAAAAATACTTATAAATATATCACTGCAAATAAGTCTATAAGTCTTTTCATGGTATATTGTGGTAAAAATTATGGGTTTGCCATGATGAAAATGTGTCAAAAACTTATGAATCATAAGGAAATATAATGAAGTGTCAAAGCACCTATTTACCTTGAAAAATACAAGAGAGTCTCAAAGAAAGGAAAGGAAAGGGAAAACAAAGAAGTCATTCTACACCTGTAGAGAAAGCAGGCAGCACTTCAGTAATTAATATTTATTACTTATGGCACCTTTCATACATTGAAAATGCTGAACAAATACCAACTGACCTGTACAACACTCCTACAATACGTGATACACATGATTATGGAAATTACAGCAGGGAGCTGGCAATGAAATAAAATCCATGAGATCCTCCCTGTAAGGAAAGGCATTGCAAAGGAAAGGAGTCTGCCTTGTAGGGATTGCATAGCACACCTCACACAACTTACACCAGAACTGGGGAGTCGGAGGAAGAGGAGAAGACAAAAAGTGGGCAAATCTCCACGGGATATACAACTGAGATGCTTGTAAATCAACACAGAGAAGCTGATTTTGACATTTGGACATTTTCAGGTAATTGAATTTGAGTTCAACACACATTCAGGACATGAGCATAACTCAATAAATCTGTTCACAAGGACAATGGGTTCATTAGGTCCTGCTCCAGTTTGGTTGGATTTCTCCTCTCCTCTCCCTGTGGTGGGACCACAGTCTCCAGCAACAACCTCAGCTTCTAGGGGCAAAGCTCCACCAGATAATTGGAAATGCCATTTCCCCACAAGCCCATGGGAGAGGCACACCAGGGCCAGCCAAGTCCTTGGTGCTGCTGGGAGAGGACCTTCTGGTGATGTACCCTGCCATGTGCCCATCAACACCAGCCAGTCTTCCTGGGGCTCTGCTGTAGGCCATTGGGTTGAGGACCACTAGGGTTCCTCTTCTGGACACAGGACCAGCACAGCATGGGAGGCAGGCACCGATAGTTCTGCTTGTTTCCTTTAATCAGAAGCATGGGGTTAAAGAACCAGCTGATGGCCTCTACCAGCTAAACTCTCTGCTTGAGGCTGATTCACCATAAATCAACTTTCATGCAGCTTAGTTTACCCGCCTGTAAAATAGGTAATTCAGAGCCAGACCATCATCTGTGAACTGGCACAGGGCCACTCAGTTCCCAGTCCCAGAAACGGACATATTTGGCCAAAATTAAGTGTCACGCATCCCTGGTGAGGCAGACAAAGTGATTTACATCCTGACCTGGCTTACTGCATCCAAGTGTACAGACAGGCACAGACAAGACAGGAGGCAGCTCTGATCTACATGTAGCACTGCTCTTCTCAAGCTAAAGATACATATTCCAGAAGGGACCTGTTGTATGTCTGGCTCATGGCTTGCATCCGTGGGGCACCCACACACATAAAAATGATCTTTTTCTACCTCACAGGAACAATACAGTTTAATTTATCCCACCTAACTGGAGTTCTGCTGCTGACAGTGAGGTCTCATAACTTCTGGACTAGTCTGTGAAACAATGCTGGTTTCAAAATATTATTTTTCTTATTGTTAGAGTGAGTGATTTCCTGACACGTTCTCCCAAACTAAAAGTGAAATAACAAAATCAAACAAGAACAACCTCTAGAAATCAATTTATGGAGTCAGGCAGAGTGTAAATAAGCAAATACCTGATGGGAAAGCTTCACTTCACTAATATTAGCTGAGCGTATGAACTGAACAGACTACATGATTTTCTGCCTAATTAACGTAACTTCAAAATCTTTCTTCAGTCAGAAGGTCCTAGTCCATGGTGTTCTTTGGCAGAACCTCAAGATATCCTGCTTGAACGGAGAAACAAAAACAAACATTCTTCTCAAATGACCTGGCCCCTGGTCTTGACTCAGCATGAAGATCGATGGTTTAGTTGTCCATTTTCCCCAGAGTTTTGGCTTTCCACAAGGCTAAAATATAATGTAGATTATACACCTAGTACAAGAAGAGACTACTATGCAGTATGTAATATTAATTACAGGTGGTGTTTTCAGAACATAAAAAATAAATATATCCTCAGAAATCATTCCAGATATTTCTAAAAGGTTGCAAGGAATTCCATGGACTGGTAAAACAGAACTCATTTAAAAGAAAAGTCTTACCTGTCACAAGCTGTTGTCCAGCTAGTCCTACTGGAACCATCCCCAGGTTATTCATAGCTGTGGCCCAAGCTGTTGGATCAGTGACTGACATGTTCAGTTGCGTGGTATCTATAGCTATACTTCCCAAACCATCAGCTGCTGCAGGAGAAGAAATACATTTTAAGTAGGAAAGTTAACTTCCCAGCTTTATTAACTAGAACTGTCAGTGAAAATGAGGTATCACAACCACTGTTCTGTTTCTTAATTATGTTTCACCTTTCAGACAACTGGTAATAGTGGTTGGTACTGTATAGCAAAGATGAAGATATTGGAAATATTCAGCAGACATAAAATGAAACATGAACAATTCAAGCTGATTATATGGTGAACTTTTTCACCACGAGGAGGAGTTGAGCAGTGGAACAGGCTGTACAGTCACCAACCGTGGCAGTTTTCAAGACTGAACTTGATAAAGTCCTGAGCAACTGGTCTGACCCTATGTCTGGCACTGCTTTGAGCAGGAGATTGGACTGAAGACCTCCTGAGATCCCTGCCAACCTGATTGAATCATCTTGTAGTCCTCTGATATAATTTAATTGTATATAATCTATGATGGACTGTAAGAAAGCTGTGAGAACCAAACACATCCAAAGCAAAAACCCGCTTCCCATGACATGCAATTTTTTATAGAGGATTTAAAATATGTTAGCTCCTAACTAAAAAGAGGTCAAAACCAGTTGTTTTTGCTATGCAAAACACCAAGTTTTGTTCTGAAAACAAAAGAGAGTTATGATTAATATGGTCAAAAATGACTGAGCCCAGGTATGGATTCCTGGATTGGGGAAGGAAGAGTATGTTAGATAGCTAAGGGATGGTACCCTCCTGATGCTGAATCCCAAAACACAAGGTGTGATTGCTTATTTGTGCATCCATCCCATCACAGCCGAAACCATCTCCTAGCTATTTCCTTGCAACCTGTGCAGACCTGAGATATTTACCGGCAGCCATTGCTTTTTCACCAGTTCCTTTTGCTTCTGTTAGACTTCTTCAGCAAGAAATAATTAGCTACTGTATTAGCAGCATCTTGAGATGGGATGTCACTGAACGCAGGGCCCACACACAGCTCATTAGGCTCTGAAAGAGAAAAAAAATGAAATCATCCATCTCGTACCACAGTCAGAATATAGTTGCAAAACGATGGACCACTCTGGGAAGCCACTTGAATGATACTTGTGTCCACTCACACTGGACCACCATCCACAGCCTCCTAGCACCATTTCAGTGAAGATTTTCAATGAACACTCATCCTAGCCCACTAAACAAACATTGCCATGTAGGAACTGTCAGACAGCTTGCCTCCGACTGAAAAGCCTCACAAATTAGGCCTTATCAGTAGCTACACAGCCTCCTCAGTATGAAGGCATTGGCTGAGAAAGCTCATTCTAAGGGCTGAATATGATTTTTTTTTAAACTGTTAACAATTAACTGATGTTGCAAGTTTCAGGAAATAGTCTCCCGTTATGAAATGAAAAGAAAAAAAAATAAGAAAAAAAAAAGCAATGAATTTTAGAAAGGAATGCGCAGAGGTGTGAAAATGTAAGAAAACCTAACAGAGCTGAGGATGATGCCTGCTCCTTAACCAACATGCTGTCTTTGCCTGAGAAAGGTTAGGTAGCTCGAAGTGAACGTGGAGCATCTGCTTCCAGCTAAAATGCACTGCTTTCATCAGATATCTGTCAGACCATGATTTTTACATAACAGTAACTTTTTGCTGTTGTTGTTAGAGAAGTTCACTGTGTCAGTGCATTGCTTATGGTAAAGGAGGCTGAAGAGAGGATGAGGTGTGACCAAAAGCTGTGAGCTGACAGCACCCACAGCAGAGGGAGAAAACACTGAGAATCATGTGAATCACTGAATGGTTTGGGTTGGAAATGACCCTAAAGACCATCTAATTCCATCCCCCCCTCTGTAGGCAGGGACACCTCCACCAAACCAGGTTACTCCAAGCCCCATCCAGCCTGGCCTTGAACACCTCCAGGGATGGGGCATCCACAGCTTCTGTGGGCAACCTGTGCCAGTGCCTCATCACCCTCTGAGTGAAGAATTTCTTCCCTGTATCTAATCTAAACCTATCCTCTTTTAGTTTAAAGCCATTACCCCTTGTCCAGTCACTACTCTCCCTGAGGAAGAGTCCCTCCCCATCTTTCCTGTAGGCTAGGAGAGGCTGAGATGAACACAAACATATACCCATGTTAGATATGTGCATTAGCTACATGTAACTGTTGGCAAAATTAGGGCTGCATACTTTTTTTTTTTTTTTTTTTTTTTTTTTTTTTCTGGCTGTCCAGAAGAACCAAAGGGGTCTGATCTGCAGTCTTTGGTACCAGTAGGGAGATAACCCAACCTCTGACAGTGTGCTTCCAAGCTTTATGGGGGAGTCATGAATGCCAAGCAGGTGCCTGTTGGTGACTCGCTCAGCCCTAAAGACACTTTCACTGTCTTTTTAAAAAGTACTTGAAAGATCTTAATTATCAGGTTTCCAACATGCAAACCCTAAGAATTCATCTTTAGAAAAGAAACAATTAAAGTGATTATGCTGTATTTTAGCTGTATTTGAGCACCTCCCACACTTTTCTTTTTACATATGATGTGCATAAAGTACAAGCTAAAAAGTTTTATAGTTCTTTGACACTGTACAGATCACTTCATAGGGACATGATCAAATTAATAGCTGTAAAAGCAAAGAAAGAGTTGGGATCAGACATTACTTTACTTTTTTTTTTTTTTTTTTGTATGTTGTAATTCTCAAATAACCAGCACACTAGGTTAAAAAGTATTTTGCTCATATCTACAGTGGGTCTATTTAAAAGTCAATATTTATCAACTCTTAATATTCAAATTTGCAATTCCAATTCCTATTTGATCTCCACTATTCATTATACAAAACATAAAATAATTTTATGATAAAATTAGCTGCTAAATAACATCTATAAATACCAAAAAACATTGAACAAAAGTCCTCTGCAGGGAACACGATTAACTTATGTTAATCTTGGCAAGCCACCCGAGATTTATGTCATGTTTTTAAAACTGGGTGTCTCTTATTCAGCTCCTTAAATTGATACTTAGCTCTTTCTACTCAAGCTATAAACTTTTGACCACAAACATCTACTTTGAGGTTAAGGCTGACTGAATAATTGCTTGTCAATAAGATATTTCTCACTCTGTACATCCTCTTTCCTCTTTATGAATCATTTGCAAATCAATCTGATTCACATACACATGCTGAACAAACCAGATGAGGGTGGTTCACCTGCCACCCATAGATCCATATCCCCCTCTGGCATGGATCTGGGTGTCCTATTGCCTTTCTCCTGTGACCAGGAGCCTTCTTGCCTTGGTGCAGGAAGGAACATCTCAAAACTGCAGTGAAATAGTGATGAAAATCCTCCCCACACCTTGTTGTGGGCTAGTTGCTTATTTCCATCATGTAACCCCCGACTGCTGGGAATAGAGCAGGTACTTCCCCATGGTGTCAGAAGACCTGCACAGATATCTTGGACCAGCATGGATTATGGGATAAGGGGCAAAAAATGGGATGCTGGATTGTTTCTGGATATTTAACTGCTGCATGATGTGTGTGTTGGGTGATATTACAAGGTCTGCTGCCAAACTTCATGCTCTCTTCCCCCCAGCCCAAACTGCAGCTGTATTAGCTCTGCCAGAAATGGGAATTGGTCCATAAAGACTCAGACCTTAGGCTAAACAAACACACCTCAGTCTACTGAGAACTAATATGTGACCTCTTTTGCATTTGCTTTTTACCAGGTTTTCCATCTATTTCAAATTTTAGTATATTTCCATAAATTAGCCACAAGCATTTGTTAAAGTCCTTGCAGAGGACGAAAGAAAATACCACCATGAATATAGGATTATTTGTGAATCCCCTATTGGACTATGCCACCATTGCTGCCCAGTGTGCCACGAAAGTTTTGCTGAAAACACACTCTCATTAACCCACACTGGCTCTTGGCAGTTTTGCTTTCTCTCTAGCCATCAAGGCTGCTGCTTGATCAGCAGGACCTGGATGCAGTGCAGGCTGAACCAAGGGAAAAAGCACAAAGAGCACGCAAGGAGCCTAAAGTGGAACTAGTCCTATCTAACCAAGAACTGCTGCAGGCTATTTTGTCAGTGGAAGAGAGCTGAATAACAAGCATAAAGGCACCTATGAACACTGAATAATTTGCAGCAAGCTGCAGGCAGAACTAATGCTACCTCCTGAAGGACACAGACTGTAGAAACTAGCTCTCTTAAAAAGAAAAATACTAATTGTGAAGATCCCTTCTGCTGACAACTCAAAGATTACATTGATAGAGAGCAGCATAATATGGCTAAAATAATCTCACAGGAACTTTACACATAATTGAGACTCAACCTTTAGTTTTCATCAAGAAACTTCTGAAAATTCAAACGGGGAGGTTTCATTAATTCTTAAAATAAAATCAGCTTTGGGCAAATTTCAGCATTTCTTTGTATAGCTCAGATACTGCACTATTATATTCTTCATGACACTGGAAACAAAACAAGCTAGAGAAACAAATAAACCCTCACTCTAGGTCATATAAAAGACAAGTGATGTGTGATGAGAAATATGTCTGATAGTAAAGATTCTTGCTTTCTTAAAAATAAAAGGAATCACTGTGATACTCGTTAAATGTCCAAGAGAGTGAAAGCGTATGCAGGCACCCTGTGCATAATGAGCAGGTATTAATCAACACCATCTCACTGACATCACACCTTTAGATAGCTCTTCTGATCTATAAATCATTAGTACTCCTCTGGGCATTAATGACCTGAAGATATATGTAAAAGAAATCTGCGTACATAAACACTTGTGCGTGGGAGTAGCTTTACTCTGGGGGGGGGGGAGTAACTTGAGAAGCAGATAAAGCCATAATCCTGATCTACGGGAGAAAATGTGTAAAGTCTTCTGGGTGCTGATGGTTCTGGAGGATTTGGGGGAGCAGGGGTATTAATAAAAACTTCATTTCTTTAGAGCTGCTGATTAACAAATTTCTAACACGAAACACTGTAAAGCAATTCCCCGGGACATTTTTGTGGCCTCACTTTCTGCAGACACAATGCAAGTACCAATCCTTGCATGGTAGATTGTGCGAGACATTTAGACTTCCCTCAGACAGGTTGTCAGAAAGATAAAGCACCCTCAAGTCCATACCAATGAGCACTTCTCAGTCAAAGCAGTCATAGCAGATTGCACTTAGCACGCATATTTTATACCAGGCAATTAAATGCAGTTACCCAAATGAATACAGAAGTCGGTTATATATTGTGCATCAATTATCACAGGCAATGAATGCTGTGAGACAAAGAAATTAACACAACATAAAACTAATTCAATAACACAGCAGATTGCTAAGTTAAAATCCTACCCTTTAGATATCTATAACACCACAGACAGTGAATTACGACATGGAGTGAAGCTGATTAAATGCACCATGGTAATGAGGCTCTGTGGAGTGCTGGGTCAGCAGCCAGCCCCAGGATGAGTGGAGGAGGTTCTCTGCCTGGCTCTGACACTGACCTGCTCCGTGACCTCAAGTCATTTCACCTCTCTGTCTCATTTTAGTGACCACTAAATCCTTCAAGGAAAAGACTGATGCCATCAATCTTTTGAAACCTGGGTCTAAAAGTTGCAAAGCCATTAGATAGTATTGGTGTCAATTCTCACGACAATGCAGGTGGCTGGAGCGATGTGGCATCGTGTTACACCTAGGAGAGTTTTTCAGTTCTTACTGGAACAGCATGTGTGAAGCATTTGTTATTGCTCACTGTGATTCATAGGATGGCGGTCATTAGGTTGGTCACACTCCACCTGACCTGCCAAAGCACAGGTCATTTACCAGGCTACCTCCTGCTGTCTTCTAAAATGCATCAAGTGTTTTGTACTGGGTCTTCCCAGTGTTTCTATTTTTAGAGATGTTGACAGGACTCTCAATAAAGAAAGAAGAAAAAGAAAGGAGAGAGAGAATAAAGATTTTATGAGAATCACTACCCATGTCTTCCTGACCATCTCTGGATAAAGAAGAAAGCTGTGGGTAGTAACAATGAACATG